CCAGGATAGATGACTTCTTCAGGACCAGTGGTGAGAGGGGCGAGGCCTGGAGGGTGAAGGGAATGTGGGATAGAAGGGGGGAACCAAGTACAAGAATCTAAGTACTGTATAGCCTCCTCCCTGGGGAATGGACAGCAGAGAAGAGGGCGGAGGGAGACGTCAGACAGGGTAACTTATGACAAATCTATAATAATCTATGAATTATCAAGGGTTCAGGAGGGAGGGGGAGGCGTAAGGGAGGGGGAAAATGAGCAAATGATATTGAGGGCTAAAGTGGAGAGCAAATGTTTTGAGATTGATGAGGGCAACGGGTGTATTTAGTGGATGTATGTATGGACTGTGATAAGAAATGTACGAGCTCTCAATAAAATAATTTAAAGAAAAATCCAACCAAAGCAGTGACTTCAGAAAGGATGTTAAATTCAATGTAGATGTTAAATTCAAGAAGGTTATGGCAACTACTTTTATATTATATGATGTCATTTCCCTTCATCCTGAAGACATTCTTCAACGTATTTTTTTGGTGTGTGAATGGGTGAAGGTTTATAAAGCAAATCAGTTTTATACACATTTTGTTTCATATTGATTGCTATCTCCACAGTATAATTTCACTTATGCTCCTTTCTTATGTGTTTTCATGTTTTCATTGTTCCTCTTCTACCCCTTCCTGTCTTTTGAAATTTGTCTTCGAGTAAATGCTACGTTTTTTACATCAGATGGTTTATTATTCAAAGGAGTGTTTCCTTCCCACATGTTACAGCTCAATTCATACACCCGAAAATTGAGCCACCACCAATTGCAATGTTTCTGTAGGATTTATTGATGCAATAAAATCTTTAAGATGGTGATACCTAAAGAAAAAAAAAAAAGAAAAGATGCTGATACATATAAGGTATAAAATTTGGAAAGCGTTGATGCCTGAAATAAGAGATCAGAACTGATCCATGGAAGAGAAGCAACATCAAAGCATGGACAGAGGCCTAACAGAGCCAGTGGCTTTGTCCCCATGTCCCGAGACCATGTGCAACTCTTCCCTCTGCCTCAGTTTGTCCTTGAATTGAACCAATAAAACTCCTCCACACACACACACAAAAAGAAAGAAAATTGAGCCACTGTAAGTGAGTTCAGTTCTAGGTCTAAAGGTTGTATTTTTGTATTTTTTCGTATGTGTCCAGGAACTCTCTCATTTTTGTCATTCTCATTCTTAAAGAGTAGTATAATTGGCTTTAGGATTTGGTGGTGCAACTTTTTCTCTGTGGGAAGTGAAGATTTGTATCTACCCCTTTATATATAATCCCTTCCTATTACATTCTCATGTGTATTTTTTTCCCCCTGGATGTTTTCAAAGTTTGCCAAGCTGTGATTTTCTTTGTATTTATCTTGCTTGGAATTTTTTGAGTTTCCTGGATCTATGAGTTCTTGCCTCTCACCATATTTGGGAAATGTTCAGCTATTATTTCTATAAATATTTTCTTCCTTATTCTCCTGGAACTGTAATTTGACATATTAGATTATTTGATATTCCACTATAAATAATTGAAATGGTTCATTTTTCTTTAATAATTTTTCTCTTAGAGCTTCGTTTTATAATTTCTACTCATCTATATTCAGAAGTACCAATTATTTTGCTATTTCCAGTCTGTGTTAAATCTAAACAGTTACTGTTACTACAATAATCCTCACGTTTACATTTGAGTCCTTACTCATTTCTGTTTCTCTGCTAGATTTCCCTTCTATTAATTTTTTACATGTTTATCTTCTTGTAAGTCTTTGAATATATTTATAGTGGTTTCTTGAAATCCTTGTTAACTGCAGTGAAGGTAATCTCAGAACCCATTTTTATTGACTATTCTTTCTAGTATTAATTACAGTGTTTTTCTTCCTATATCTAGTAATTTTTATACTGTATACTGGATATAATCAGTACAGATAGAGTATTTTTTCTGGTTCTTTAATGGATAGTTTTGTCCTAGAAGGTAGTTGAGTTGACTGAACTTAAGTTTTAATTTAAATTCACATTTAGTGAACAACAGATAAAAACCTGCTTAATCCTTTCAACATCAGTTACTGCTTTTTTACTGAAAGCAGAGATAAATCTGCTTGGCCTTTTGTGAATTGGTAATGTCTGTGTGCTTGCTTGGTTGTTTTCCTTCATCTTGTTTTTTCACACTCCTCAGCTTTTAAATAAATATCCTTTATCGATATCCATAATTTGAGAGCATATTGGTTATTAAAGACAAGTGACAAACTCAGGACCATGTGACTTTTTATTAATGGAACCTTTGCAGATCTTTCAAATTAATTTAATTGTAATTCTTTGCCCCCCTCCTCTCTTTTCAATATGTTCCCCCCCCAAAAAAATAATTTTGTTGGGAGTTAATACAGATTTCTTTATTATTCAATAGTTCATTCACATCAAGCAGTATTGTACAATTACTACCATGCTCAGTTTCAAAACATTCCTTTCCTCCATGAACTCCTGGCATTGACTCCCTTTTACAACCCCGCCTCCCCTCGTCAATTGTAATTCTTAGTGGAAGAATTATTTGATAAGACAATGAAGTGTATTTATTGACTGAACCTCTTATTTTCTTTTCATTCAGTTGGAAAGACATCGTTGATCACCAGATTCATGTATGACAGTTTTGACAACACCTATCAGGTATTTTGTTTTGCTACCTTATTAATTGTCTCTATTTTATGTTCTAAACAATATTCACGGTGTTTTTTAAAAGTTCATTTATTTTCTTTTTAGTTCATTTATTCTCATGCAGTCATGGGTGTAAAAGTACTTTTTGTTATCTGTTAAATACTACATAAAATTTATATCTTCTCATTTGAATTCTTGGCTTCCTATCCCAAAATGCATAAAAAATTATTTCTGATACCATCTGAGATGAAGTTAGTAAGTATTTAATTTTTTAGAGCTTTCATTCAAATATAGGTTTTTGTGATTTTTAAAAATATATATATACATATATAAAGTTGAAATCAGGAATGAATGATGAAATTGAAGGTATAGTAAATAAGTTTGGAAAATTCACAAATATGTTGCAGTTAAACATTACATGCTACGAAATTATCATAGGTCCAATAAAAATTGCAAGGGAAATCATCAGATACTTTGAGACAAATAAAAATAAAAATACAAGCATACTAAATAAAGCTAGAGAATGTAGCTGAAGCACTACTAGAAGGAAATTTATAGCAGTAAATTCTTATAAAATGAAGACAGACCTCAAATCAATAATCTAGCCTTCCTATCTTAAGGGAAAAAAGGAGCAAATTAAACTGAGAAAGCACACAAAAGCCAGGAACTCATACTGCCTCATAGGGTTTTCTTGGCTCTAGTCTTTATGAAAGCAGACCATATTACCCTAATAACAATATCAGACAAAAGAGACATCAAATGGAATTAAAAAATCTATACAACAATGTTTTATAAATATAAATGTGCATATAATGCATGTAAATATATGTGTATACAAATACAAACAAGTCCTCAACGAAGTACTAGCATTCTGAGTCCAGCAACACGCAAAAAGTATTACATACACTTTTTTTGTAGTTTTAAAAAAAATCATTTTATTGGGGGTGTGTACAGCTCTTCTCACAATCCATCCATCCATCCATGTATACATACATCATCATTTTCAAAACGTTTTCTTTCTACTTGAACCCTTGGTATCAGCTCCTTAGTTTTTTCCTTCCCACCATTGATAATTTATAAATTTTTTTTTTTTCATGTCTTACACTGACCGATGTTATTCTAGGTTTAAGCTTTTCTTGCTTACTATTGGTTTTCCATCTTTTTTGATACTTACTTTTTTCTTTTCTTTTTAAAATCATTTTATTGGCTCGTACAACTCTTTATTTTCTTCTTTCTTGCTCTTTGTCTTTATATTATTTTCTTCTTGTTTGCTTGGGTTTTCTTTTAATCATTTTATTGGGGGCTCGTACAGCTCTGATCACAATCCATACATCCATTCATTGTGTCAAGCACGTGTACATTTGTTGCCATCATCATTCTCAAAACATTTGCTTTCTACTTAAGCCCTTGGTATATACACTATTATCAGTAATTTTTATCCCATGAATTTAAAGTTGCTCAACATATGAAAGTTAATCAAAGGTGTCAACATAATGCATTACATTAAGCAATGTAATACATCATATGAATAGAATAATACCTATTATTATCTCAATAGATGTAAAAACAGTAGTTGACAGAACCCAGCATTTTTTCATGATAAAAACACTCAATGTATTGTGAGTAGAAGGAATCTTCCTCAGCACAATAGATGGCATCTTCAGTAAAGTGAGATTATTGGCTATGCCTCTTGTATCTATAGTCTTTGTAACCCAGTGATTGGGTAGAACATACAAATAAGGTATATAGGACTCTTAACTCATAGTCAGTTTTGCTATCTCAAGGGATATACAAGTGAAAGATCTTAGAATTAAGAACAGGGAATCCCATTAATAGAGGGGCTACCAGCTGACTGCATGCTGAGTTTCCCTGCCTGAAGTGATGGGGACATTAGAGGCTATAGTACCAAGACCATGAGACAGCAGAGGAGCCACACTTAGACCATTAAAGAGCAAAGGGTTTCCCAGTCTATGGAAAAAATAAAGCTGAGTTCTTTTGGGCAGGATGTACCTGACATGATCGCTGAAGACAAAATGGGTACATAAGCAAATGTAGCAAAGAAAGCTGATGGTGCTGGGTATTAAAAGATGTCTGGGGTCTTAACGCCTTGAAGATAAACAAGTGGCCATCTAGTAGAGAAACAACAAAGCCCACATGGAAGAAGCACACCAGCTTGTGTGATCATGAGGTGTCAACAGGATCAGGTATCAGGCATCAGAAGACCCAAAAGAAATGATCATATCAATGCCAATGAGTGGGGACCAGAGTCTCTAGAGACCAAAGCCCATTTGTAGACAATAGGACACCCCTCACAGAAGGGTCACAAGGAAGGGACAAGTCAGCCAGGGTGCAGCATAGCGCCTATAAAACATACAACATTCATCTAGTTCTTTAATGCCACCCCCACCCCATCATGACTTCAGCTCTACCTTACAAATCTGGCTAGACCAGAACATTTACACTGGTACAAATAAGAGCTCTCGACACACGACACACGACATCCAGGACTGATAAACCCCTCAGGTACAGTAATGAGAATGGTGATACCATGAGAGCAGGGGGGAGGTGGGAGAAAGGGCAAACCGATCGCAATGATCAACATAAAGCTACTTCACCCCAGGAGGACGAAAACAGAAACATGGAGGGAGACAGCAGATGGTGTAAGATAAGAAAATAATTATAATTTATAAAGGGTTCATGAGGGTGGGGTGTTTGGGGAAGAGGAGCTGTTACCAAGGGCTCAAGTAGAAAGAAAATGTTTTGAAAATGTTGATGGCCAAATATGTATAAATGTGCTTGATACAATTGATATATCGATTGTTGTAATTGCTGTAAGAGCTCCCAATAAAATGATATAAAAAAATTGGGCAGGATGCTGGCTTGCAGAGTGGGCTGACCTTAGGGTATTTATCAGCAGCAGAAGCAGGGCAAAGGCCAAGTGACTGTGTAGGTGAGAGGCAGAAGATCAGAGAAAGACAAGCTTACTGTCATGGCTAAGAAGATGGACTGTATCCTTAATCTTCACTTGTGACCTGTTAACTTTCCTAATAAACCCACAATAATGAGTATTGTTTATACAACTGAATGGATTAGTGAACACAGTAGAAAAGTAGAGTGCTATGGGAGGGATGTTGGATTTTAAGTGTGGATAAAGAAGAAGGAGGTCAGACATGGTCCCCATGCCATTTCTTCAGCAACTGTGAAAAATCTAGAGCTACCATAATAATTTGCATTGAAAGACTGAATTCTTTCTATTATGCATTGAGTTGTGTGCGTGTCCCCCCCAAATAACACGCTATAAATCCTGTTTGGAACAGATTTATCTTTGTTAATGTTAATCAGGTCTTAACAGTATAGGGTGTGAGATTTTTGAGATACAAAAGAGCAGACTTAAAAAAAATAATAAAAAAGAAAACAAACAAAAGAGCAGACGTGGCACTGCAGACATTATCTGAAGATGATGCAGACAGACTAGTCTGTCTGCCCAGGAACTTTAAGAACTAGTGGCTTGAGAAGCTGAGACAAAGATTCTTCCCCCAGAACCTTTCCTACTCTGTTGTCAGGAATTCAGACTTCTAGCTACCTAAGCTGTGAGAAAATAAATTTGTTAACGCTTCTACTGTGGTATTTCTGTTATACTAGGATTGAGTAAGACAGATTCTTCTTAAAATCTAGAACATTATCTGTCTGTTCTCATTGTTTATTCAGTCTTACACTAGAGGTTCTAGAGGCCATTTGGAGGGAAAAGAAAAAAAGAAATCCCATCCAGATTAGAAAAGTAAAAGTAAAACAATTTGCACATGACATGAGCTAGTATATGGAAAATCATAAGGCATCTACACAAAAAATATATTAGAAATAAGGATATGGGATCAATATACAAAAATAAATTGAATTTTTAATATTAGTAATGTACAATTAAAATGGAAATTCAAAAGCTAATGTAATTTAAAATCATATCAAAAGGAGTAGTATACCTAAGGATAAGTTAAAAAAGTATGAAATATTTGCACTGAAGTTTAGGACTTTTGTACTGGAAATTATACAGTGTCATTGAAAGGAATTGAAAGAACTAAGTAAATGAAACAAGATCCTCAATTTATGGATTGAAAGAATTAATATTGAAAAAATGACTACTTCACAAATTTTTTTTCCCCACAAATTGATATATAGGTTTTATGGAGTTCCTGTAAAAATTCCAACTGAATTCTTTGTAGAAATTGATAAGTCTTAATATAGAAACACAAGCGGCAGCCAAATCACAGATCTTACTACAAAGCTACAGCAATCAATGTTATTTAGTACTTGTATAAGAGTAGACATATAATTGGAATAGAATTACGAGTCTAGAAATAAACATATTTATGCTTATAACTGATTTTTGGCAAGGTAGTCAAGATGTTGCAATGGAGAAAGAGCAATTTTTTTAACAAACGGTATTGGAATGACTGCGTCTCCATAACAAAAGAATGAAGTTTATTTTACTACATACAGAAACTTCTTAAAAATGGATCAACAAGTTAGATGTAAGAACTAAAATTGTAGAACTCTTAGAAGAAAACATAGCTATATGTCTTCATGGCCTATGATTAGGCATTGAATTGTATAGGGCTGTGGTTCTCAACCTGTGGGTCTCAACCCCTTTCACAGGGGTCACCCAATTCATAACATTAGCAAAATTAAAGTTATGAAATAGCAATGAAAATAATTTTATGGTTGGGGGGGTCACTCACCACAACATGGGGAACTATATTAAAGGGTCGCGGCATTAGGAAGGTTGAGAACCACTGGTATAAGGTAAATGTTACCACATTTGAATTGTATACTATAAAAATCAATTCAAAGTTTTTATAAAATTTAAAGAGCCCTGGTGGCACAGTAGTTAAACATTCAGCTGTTAATTGTAAAGTCAGCAATTTGAGCCCATAGGCCAGAGTGCCCACACTTTTTCAGCATGCGAGCTACTTATAAAATGATCAAATCAAAATGATCTACCAACTACAAAAATGCAA